TATACCCATATTTATTAATGTATGCAAAGATACAACATTTTTTATACGCGTTAACATAATTTTTACATTCTCATATATATTTTTAAACAGTTTTGTAATTAAATATATAATTATAAAATATCCAAACATTTTACTTTTTTCCATTGTATATATGTTATTTATATCAGCGGATTATATAACAAAATACAACTAATAAAAATCTTTTAAATTCTAAAAGATTAAATCAATCCTTTTCTTTACCTTCAAATAAAACATCGAATATTATTAAGATGTCATATTGACAAAAAGATAAGGCTATGCGTGCATGAAGTCAACGTGATGTAAAACCTCGACATAATTAAGCTCTTGCCCTAGAGTGTAACCTCCTTAGAGGTTTTCCAAGGTACTGAAATTCCCGCATACCCGTCAACGTCTAATGAGGGGATTGTGGATGAAGTTTCAGATTGGCATGAAGCAATTAAGGAGGACCTTATTTACCTCAACATCTTTAGAATATATTAATAACGATAATCGCCGATTAAGACTTTAGTCTTAATTTAGTGTTATATAGTAACTGCAGAAAAATACAGATCACGTTTAACAATATTTTTTTAATATTCATGTTTGAATATCACATTTTTTAATTTTTGGATTAATATACTTCTTTTATTTTTTATAATTTATTCTCATTATAAAATAAATATGTTTTTAGTATATAATTTCAATACTATAACAATAACATTTATTATTATAAATTTCTTTCAGATATATAAAAATAAATTGTAAAGCATAATTTATTTTCATTACATATAATAAATATAACAAGAAGTATACTTCAAATAAAAATTCTATCAACAAGTATTCTAAACTCCTGTTTTCCTAATAATTTTCTACATCTAATTTATGTTCATTATAATATTATCACCTTTATGTAATTAGCTGAAGAATTCCTCGAGTCAGCGTGAAATTTCGTAAGATAAATTGCGCGAAATTCCACCCAATAATCCATAGCGAGTGAACTCTTCGATGTTGAAGACTATCTCAATCCAAGATGAGATAAGAAAGACCATCCGAACAAAATTAAACTACCTCATCATCATTAGGACCTAATTACAAAAGGTCTTAGATACGGATGACATGCTGACGAGCGGCCGAAGCAAGCTAACTACGCTCACACTCACGCACGCGCTCATCTTCGTCTCCACAGATACGCTTTCTGAGAAGCCTGGTGTCGGTATCAACATCTTGAAGTGAGCTAGTCGGTCTAAGCGAAAGCTTATTAATGAGTTCCTGTAGGAGGGACGGGGAAGCTTTCACAGAACGACGACTAGGAAGAACGGTTGCGAGCTGGCGGAGGTGGATGCTGGCTGGATAGCTCGAGATAGAGGGTAGAAAAAAGTAACAGACTCCCCGCAAATAACCCCCACGATACCTCGCGGTAGGCGTGTCTCGGATACGGGGTGATGGCAGAATCCAACCAATCAGGATCCGGCGGCGACGCGCGCCCCGGCCTTCTCTCGTCGAATGAAAAATATTGACCATACGAGGGGGTATCCTGCGGTCCATTTGGGGGTTGTGGAGGTGAAACATAACGGTCGACTGATTGTTAGGGAAGGCGGGCGGGCAAGAAGGGTTACGAGGCGGCGGGTGAATACCCTCCTCGTCACGTACGGGATCATTAGCTGGATATCCTTGGTCCCGTTGGCCAACCCTATTCGATAGCGGTGATCCTCGTGCTTGACATCATTATCCTTGGATGCTGCAGAGCGCCAACGCAGTCCGATCATACTTCGTCGCAGGCGCTCGTAGTTCAGTCTTTCGATACTGCTACGCTTTTCTTTTCATGTTTTTGCCTCTTCCTTGCCTTTATTTTTTGTTATTCGCGTATTTGTCTATTATCTATTTGATAATCTAAGTAACTTGCAATTCTTCAGTGAATCTATGAAAGTTGTGACAGTGCGTGAGTTTGTAGTGATTTACTATGGTATAATTATCAACCATGACTGTGATGGTGATTTAACGACTTTTGACTTTTTTTCAACATTGTGCATTGCAAAGAATTGTGGATGATAAGTCAATGTGACTGAAGAATGACATATTTGTTTGAAATAACACGGGATTTATACTTTTCAATAATAACTCATAAACAGTGAAAAATAGAATTATTGATTATGGTGAAGAAGAAAAATTAATTGGATATATTTGGCCATTTTTGCGGAAAGAATTTGTGATAAGTGATTATATAAATAATATACTGCTCCAAAAAGGATCGAATTTTCCTCTCAATTTCCTTTTTAACAATAAATTAATGTCTATATCAAATAATAAAAAAATTTAATGAACGTTAATCGTGTCCCGTCGGTTGAATGATTGTACAATACTATCCATAGGATTTTCAAGAAAACATAAGGAAAAAAATAATAGTTTCAAGGATTGCAAAATGGAGACAAGTGATCCGTCGGGTAGGCTAACGGCGGAAGACTTATCGGATTGCATAAGCGACAGCAGTCACTCGGAATCTCAATTAAGAGCATTTCAAAGTTATGAGCGTATCAAAGAGTTGAATTTGTCTATCGATAAATCTAAAGAAGATGCATCAACGGAATCAAAAGACTTTCATCTTGGTCTCGAAAGCGGCGATAGGACGTCTCTTCGATTTAACGAATTTCCGTGCGAAAATCCGGCTAGAAATCTGACTATGACGTTGAATAAGATCAAGGATTTTGATTACTCCGCTAATAACTTCTCTGAAATTAATTATCCTTTGGATAGATCAAACGAGAACGAAGAATCGGTTGATGCTGCGACGACGCTTTGCAGATCAAAAAATTCCAGTGCTAAGAACGTGTTATTTAATTTGCGCGAGACCAAACAAAGGAGTCCTCATGCATCATTATCCTCTTTAGATAGGTACAGCAAAGATCTCAATTTCGTAGTGGAAAAAGAGATGAAAGATTTTAGCCTGCTCAAGAATTATAATCTCGACCGTATGAAAGAGTTTAATTTTTCCTTGGATAGAATGAGGGATACTCACATTAGCAGTTTGGCTCTCGAAAGATTGCGTGGTGGCACCGGTCTACTGGAAAATTCAAATATGCTAGATCACAAGGAATTCAGGAACTTGCAAGTGCAACCGAGGAATCCTGATCTTGAAGCCATTGCTTTGGAGCGTATGAGACGCTCGCATCTACTTGGTACGGAGTTATCCGCGCAAAATCTGTCGACGCAAGTGCCGCATCCGCACTCGATTACGCACATGCAGCATTCTCAGCAACAGCAGCAGCAACAAGCAAAATCCTTCACTATCGACGCCATTCTAGGTCTAAGGAATAATCAACGAGAGAAACGAAATCAACAACAACAATATAGGAAGCATCAAGGTATTTAAAATATTTTTCCTCTTAGTTATATGTATATTACAGTCTATCTGTTAATTCTGATTGGTTTTGGCTATAATTTCATTGCCTATATAGTCAAATTTAACCATAGACGTGAGTTTCTAATAATATCAATTACAATTGATCAATTAATTAATAATGTATTGCTTTTCTTATGTCATTATGAAATTGTGTATTTCTGAAATTATTAGATTTTTCTTAGCGTATGTTAAATAAATTTTATATTAAATTATTTATTTATTATATAACACATCTTAATGATAAATGTTTTAAATCACATACAAAAAAAAAATTATTTGAATGCAAAATGACTTTTTAAATATATACTTAAATTCGTCTCGTATAACAAATCAAATAAATATTGTAATAAATGTTATTATCTTATGCTAAACGATAAAACTATTTATTACTAAAATTAAAATTATAATTAATCTAAAATAAATTTATAATTTAAATTTAAATCAAAAGTATTTTAAAATAGTAATATTTTTAAAAAATTAATTAAATTACCTTGTACTAAAGAAATAAGATTATTATGTTCTGTACAAAAACAAGAAACGCGTTTAAAATTTAATTTCTAATAGAAATATTCCATACGCTTTTCGATTAAATGAAGAACAATCGAAATATTTTTGTGTTTCGTGAACTGTGTGATAATCGAAAGTCTATAACTAACTTCAGATAAATTTTAGTTTCTACCGAAATACAAGTGTCAAATATCCAAATTTTTATGTCAAGAAGAAATCAATAGTTTCAAACATTTATTAGTTCTAAATACAAGTATTTATAATTTTAGTTATAGAATCTGTCAGAATATGATTTATACAGAATTTTTGTAAAATTTCTTAATGGAATATGCTTAAACATATGTGCAAAAATTAACCCTATCAGAAAATATCAACATATTATATCTTTTATTTTTACATCTGTATTTTTACATCTGTTAGCCAGTTTTATCATTATTAAATTTCTTTACAATAAATAGTTTAACAATTCTTATAGTTGTTATGTTTGTTTGCCATTTTCTTAGGTCAGGAAAGCTCGACAAAGAATAGTAGTTCGAGTTCCAGTTCTAGTGGAGGTGGCAAAGTGAAGAGGGTACGAACAATTTTCACGGCGGAACAATTGGAACGTCTAGAGGGTGAATTTGCGCGTCAGCAATACATGGTGGGCCCTGAAAGATTGTATTTGGCTCATGCACTTCGATTGACTGAAGCGCAAGTTAAAGTTTGGTTCCAGAATCGTCGAATCAAATGGCGAAAGTTGCATCACGAGCAACAGAGCCAGAGAGTGCATGAGTTCCAACGCACGTTGAACTCTTCGTTGGAGCACGAAGACAGCAACGAAACTGACAAATGGTGAAACAGAAATTCACGATCTACGCGAAATCCTCGATCGTGACTGTCACTTTGATCCTTCTTCCTTAAGTATGCTGCTCTATCCTTTTCATTTTATTGTCTTAGGAATTCGAGAAGTTATTCTACATGGATGTAATTGCAAACGAGATTTCAAACGTGCAATTATCGATTTTTTGAAGAAATACTGTTTTCCATAACTTCTCATAAAATATCTACGTCGCATCTTTCTTTCTTTACTCTCATCTCTGTGCAAATCGTCTTGCCAGTTTTTATATTTTATTATAAATCTCATTCTTTGGAAAAATTGTATATGGATTGCAGATTGTGACGAAGAGAACTGTGTACTGCAAAAAAATATTAACGTTTATTGATTAAAGTAAGTTTTTAGTTTTTAAAACATTTTTTTCATATTTTAACTTAAAACTACGAAGATAAAGATATGTTTGATGTGACATCTCACTGCATTTCTAAATAATTATAAAAATATTCGCGATTAACAAATTGTTATGATAAAAAGTGCAAATCATACTTGAGTCAAATTTAAACATTTTCGACAAAATAAATTAAATAATAATAAAAAATTGTGCCAAAAGAAAACAGTGTAAATAAAAAATGTAATAAATAATAAAGAACAAAATTTAATAAAGGTGAAGTGCAAAGTATGAGAATTAAGAATTTCAAATGGAAAGATTCATTTTTGATGATATTTAAATATTTATATAAGCTTTCTAACGAGAATGGAGCAAATTGGAAGACTTAAGACAAAGTATACTTCACCACACACGTGGTCTGCTAAACAAACCACTGATACTAGAATTCCGGCTGATGCATATTGGAAATATACACAAAGAAACAATCAAGACATGACCGATCAAAATATCAGGTATTTTTTAATAAGTGATAAAATTTTTGAAGATTAATAAAAAACCCTTATATAAAACCTTTTATACCTTGTAACTTGAAGCTGTAATAAAAAATTTTATATTACATTTTTTCTAACAAATATTTCATTCAAACAATATTCTAACAATATTTCATTCAAAGATTTAATATTAAAATTTATATAAAACAATTTTGATTTTAAAAAGTATGATTTTATTAGACGTATAATATCAGAAAGTCAAATTAATGGTTTTCATAAAAGAAAGAATAGCAATATTATATAAAAGTGAATAAAAAATAAATTTCGTGATTTTTAGACGTCGTCACAGTCCAATACCAGAATCAACGATGAGCTATTATTCTTCTGCAAATTCTCATAAGACTTTTAAACATAATGCTTATCCCTGTTCGACGCATCCAAAACATTCTTCTGTTCTTCACACGGAAGTACCACAAAGATATCAACAGATTACAAAATCTGGTAGAAATAAAGATCGAACTAATAACGTTGCTGTCATAAATAAAGATCGATATAAAACACAGCAGGAAGATGAAAACAATGCAGAATATATTGACGAAGAATTAGGAAATTTTACTGAAGATAATCTAGAAGATGCCGAAGAAGAAGGTATAAGATATAAATGTTATTAATTCTTTTTTTATACAAAAATCCATTACATATGTCGATAAAAAAGTTAGTAAATCAAAATATAATTCAAATACATATTTTTAAAGAAGAAAGAAAATGAAGTAAAAAATTTTAATTTTGATTATAATATATACATGAATAGATAAAAGATGGAAGAAGTATAAAAGAATTAATTAATGATATTTAGAAAGAAAGAAAGGTTTTTTAATATAGTAAAATTTGTAAAAAGTTATATTTATTTATAAAATAGTTATAATTAATTAAGCATATAAAGCAATAAAAATCATGTAACTATCGTGCGATTGTATTTAATTTCTTGAAATATAATATGTTTTTACAGCGGAAAACGAGCGGTCTCTACGAAGCGATGAAAGAGTCGGCGAGTCTATCAATAAGGAATATGATGAGCAGGAAGCAGACGATGAAATAGATGAAGAATCTGATGTACCTGCTGAATCACAAGCAATACAACGAAATGCAACCAAGAAAGATGCATTGTTACGAGCACAGCAACGAACGCGAATTAGCCAACAAGATCCTCATAGAATTCGACATTCTCAATACTCGCCAAAATTATATCAAGCTTATCATTTACCAACAAGGTTTGTAATATAAATTTTTAATATGCATTAAAAAATATTTTACAAAACTTTTTATTTAGGGACAGATGCTTAATTATTTTCATTGGACAAAAGAATAGAATTTATTAAATCAAAAACAAATATGTTATAACAATATGTTAACAAACATTTTAATTATATTTTATCATTTTATTTAATTTAATTAGTATTAATTTTTTCTCAATTTATGCTAGTTTAATTATATTATGGCATAGACAGTCCATTCAAAGCTAATGAAGAACTAAATGAATTGTAGATGACAAAGTAGCATAAATCAGAAATTAGGAATAAATGCATATTAAATAGGATACATTGTAATTAAACAGCTTAATGATAAATTATCTGCATTATGCTTTTGGCTTGATATTCTCTTTAATTATATATGTTCTATTATCAACATGTCAAATTTCTGCGAGATATATCCGTATAATTAGGTATTACCACAATATGCCTGATCATGATGTCCATGAAACATTGTCCGAAGAAGATCTATATACGGCTCAAGCATTGAAAAATCCTCCTCGAAGATCATCAATGGGATATCATCAAAATTGGATTCCGCAAAGGAATTCAGCCGATCGATATGACACAATGACCTCGCTAACTCAACCAAGTCGCCGAACACGGACAAGACCAGAAATAAAGTCTTTTACAGAAGCAGAATTTGCTGATAGAAGAAAGTGTAGTCGTTGCGGTAATATCTCTATTAGGAAACTACCAATCTTGAGAAAGAATTGTAGATTTCAGGATAATCCTAATTTTTCAACGAAAGGACGTTTTGGTAAGCAAGTAACAAACTTGTTCTAATATTCAGAAAATTATAATTTAATAGTATTAGAAACAATCACACATAATTAACATAGCATATAAGCACATAGCATATAACATAGCATATTATATGTAAAATATTACATTTATTAATCATAAATTGTAAAACAATTATTTTCCTTAATTAGTTCTATCTATTAATTCTTGTATTTATTTATTTAGTTCTGTTATGTTTTGATATATCAACATTAATTTTTAATATCATTACTTTCCAGGCGATGATGCAGAAATATTCGACCAATTCTGGTGTGGATATTGTAAACCAAAATTTCGTTTCGAAGGAAACGTCGGGCCTTGTGAAATTCCATCACCAACTTTATATTCAATGAAATCACGACGTTCCAGGGATGCTAATATACCGATGCATGAAACGTTAGAGGCAAAACATCCGATAGATGAAATAACGCATGAATTCGCACGAATGTCATCTAGATACGCTAAAGATATTCCAAATACCTTACGCGATAGAACCAGACATACCGTGCAGACAGCACAGGGTACAACAAGAATGCCTGTTCATTATGATTCTTAAGTTTTCTTCATAAATTTTATTAAATTTTTATGAATTAATGTTAAAAAAATTAAGAAATCTTATATTTTACAAAAAATATACGTGAATTCTTTTCTCGGCTTGTCTTTTAAAAAATAATATTTTCCGAAAAATATTGAAACTTATTTTGTTGTCTGTACTGTCTAAAATAAAAGTGAATAGTACTGTCTAAAATAAAATTTTGGAATCATTTTTAAAAATATCTTACTGCTTATTATAGTATATTATTCATCTGTTAATTATTTAAAAAGTTTAATCTTTCTTTTATGTTTTGCAATAGGAAAAAGAAATTTATAAACGTGAGGATATTTTAAATAACTATTGCTACTTTTGAGCAATGTTCATTGAATAAGTGTTAGATAACTTTGAATAACAAAAAACCTGGTAAAAAATAAAATTATCGAAGAATCAAGAGAGATATAATAAACTCAATGAAAAACGCCATTGCACTTCGTAACAATCACCAGATGCTACAATAATACTTATATTCACAGTCAGTTCCCTTCTAGTGTTTGTCCAACATATATTTTTGTAACTGTCTTTCGAATCGTGTAGATGTATTCTGTGTAGTGCGATAAATAAAAATTGTGCCACAAAGGCATGAAAAATTAATTTCACAATGTACATATAAATTGAATAAAGCCAATAGAGCAGATGAAGCGATTTAATATTCTTTTTCTCATTGTAATTTTAAAGAGGTAAATATCACTTTATGTCTTTTAGCACTGGCGCACAAAATCTACTGTAAATACGTGATATTATTCTATAATTAACTATATGATAGACATACGCGTACATGTTAAACGGAGAATAAACTCTCGATCTGTACATTAAACATAAATGGTATGTTTAATTAACCCCAAATTAACCCCAAATTAACATCCATACCTAAATTAATGTCCATGTTAATTTATTATAATTATTTGATGTGCTATAATTGACATTAGAGATCTTTCTTTATATATATTATCAAAAAATAAAAACTGTATTACAATAAATATTATTTGACAGCGATTTGATATTATCAAAAACATCATGTTAAATAAACATTGGTTTATTATAAAACATTTTACAAATATGAATAACGTTATACAAATAATGTGATCGGAAAGAATTACTGTTCTGATTAATAAATTTTTCAGATAATTTTTGTTCTGCTTGTATTTAAAATTAAAATTAAATTAAAAAAAAATATGCAGTTTTTTATGTTAAATATAAAAGAAAAATCTTTACTATTTTAAAACTTTGTTTAAATACTTGTTAACAATGTTTCGTGGTACTCATGCTTGAAAGTTATATTTTATTTAATTACAAACTTAATATCTTTGTTATACATGTCAATATGCTAAAAATAAATGTTGCATATTATAAAAGATGCAACATTAATAAGAAAATGCAATAATAAAATTTATATCCGTATAATACAATTCAATATTTTGTGCAAACAGATTTACAAAAGACTACAAATATAAATTTGAAATTTATAACACATCTTTTATAATATATAAATGTAAAGAATACTAAATGTATGTAAAAATTAAATGTATGTAAAAATTATATAAAAAGTTATATTTTATCATTTTAAAATAAAAAAAGATTACAAGGGTATATACATAAATATACATAACATACATATTAAAACAACATAAAAACAAAAATTTGATATAGTCGTTAATAAATAATTTCTTAATCTTTAATATTCTTGAAATATTAGTAATCTGAAAAAGTACAACAATATTGCCTTGCTGAAATCTGTGAAAGACTAATGCACACATAAATTGCATCACGCGTACTATTCTTCCATATAAAAATTTGACGTGGGTGATGGTTAGTAACTAATATTCGCTCGTTACGTGGAAGCCTCATTGTCATCGTGATAAATTAGCATAGGACCCGTGTCAAAGCATCACAAAAAGCCCTTGATGCACAATCATGTAGACTTCGCCATTACGAAGATATGGAGAAAGATATCAATCAATTCGTAATGCACCATTTTATCACAAATTTCATTTATTCAGAATCAATTGATATGATTGTTATCACTATTGCTGAATTCTCTCTATAATTAACATCATCATATATACTTTAAAAGTTATTATCGGTAAATCATTATCGGTAAATTCTGAAATATACATATATCAGTTAGAAATATAAATCAATAAAATAATTTTATTTAAATTATTAAATTATTAAATTTTCTATATATGAATTATATGAATTAAGAAAAATCTAAATTTAAAAAAATAATTGCACACAATATTAAATTATCTTTTTGAATGCAATTAAAGAGACTAACGTGAACGTTTACATGTGTACATTATGTTAATACATGTTTCGTTTATTAATACAATAATAATTTTTTTATTCATAATAAAGTTCGAAATTCTTGTAAACACGTTACATTGATTAAAGAAAATTGTCAACGTTTATACAAAAATATAGTTTAAAATTATTGTAACAAAACGGAGGCTATTATAAGATAAAAGAATAAAAAGGAAAGATAAAATTATACTAAAACTATACTTAAATTACTATATTTGGAATTTCTCCTGTTATTTTCTTGTTTTTGGATAAACCAATAATAATTTACAAAATTCCTAGAAACCGGTGAATCATCGAACAAAGAAGCTTATGCGTAGATAAAGCTACACGATGAGATCGAAATCGTCATGAAAGGGAAGAATGAAGGCGAGATGAGCTTCGATATCTCGCACTACAACCCTGTGCGAGATGTAAGCTCCGCCTATCCCTCGGTTACAGCGGGACTTGCAAGAGCCCTGCAACCCCCACTTTCTGGTAGAGGGTATCCCAACCCCTGCTCCACCGTCGTTGGCATCCGCGGCATTCCAATTAGCTCGCGAATCAAAAGAGCCCCACTGCCTTTGTGGGGTCTCATCCTACCCCCAGTAAACTCGCTCGTTCTCTCTCTATCGTCCTATCTCGTTAACCACCCCCTCTCTGTTCGTCTATCTATCCGCCTTGCTATCTGCTTTATCGCACTTTCCATATATTTATCTTTCTGTCTAAATCACTACGCTCATATACGTGCAGTCTTCCACACGGTATTTTACACGATGGTACTTGTTTCATTAGTGCATATGTTCGTTACGTATCCTACAATTACGCCAATATTTAACCAACATTATCTGACATTGATAATAATCTTATGTCTTAAAAACTTCATTTTAAGATATTATAACATAAAAAATTAAATACACAGATATCCAGGTTACACGCATGATTGTGCAATTCATAAATAGCATATTATATGAGACAAAAAATTTATAGTTTTTATAATAAATATTGTATGTATATATTTATTATATACAAGAGCATATATGTACATAAGAAATATTATATGAATTTTTCTAGATTATTTATTTTTTGCTTTACAAAATTATTATTTTCATTTTTTACAAATGAAATATATGTAGACAAAATAATGAAAGAAATTTCTTTTATACTTTTCTCTCTTCAGCCTTCACAGTATAGCCAAACTTCCTTCTTTCTTTGCATTTCTGTTCTTCCAAGCTTTCCTTTCCTTTTCTCTTTACTTCCTCTCTTATTTGTTTCTCTTTCTCTCTCTCTCTCTCTCTCTCTCTCTCTCTCTCTCTCTCTTTCATTTCTTCTCTCACTCTCCCACTCTTTTTGTTTCTGTCTCTCAATGAATTGTTTCTTCCTTCTCTGCGTTATTCTTTGCGTCCTTCACTCGCAGATGAGCTTTTTAGTAGAATAAAACCAAGCAACGCTAAAGAGCGGCTGTTACAAGAGAGCTAAAGAGGGTGGATGGGATTAACCGCAGTTTTAATCGTGAACCTTCTTTGACGGACAAGATTCATATAAACGCATGAGCACTTTAGCGAAACAACCAAATTACGTTACTTATCTTTAAGTGGTATGCAAATCTTTGTGGTTTGAACATATTGTAAATTGATAATTAATTATATTAATGAAAGCATATATATACGTATACACACAAAATATTAAAAAAAGTTATTTAATAACATTATAACAAAAATGTATAATAATTGAGATAATATATCTCTCTTTTATAATAGTTAATAAATGAAGACTAATAACAAAATATTTTATTTTTCTAGATAAATAATAATTTTGCAAAATTTTTTCAACCTTATAAATGTATATTTTAAATATGTACAAAATTAAAATCACGCTATTTCTGAAAAAAACGCAATATTGCTGGAGTATATTTCAAGACATTCAGAAATATGGCAAAGCAGATTTCAATATTCCGGTCGACCGAATGACAAATTGGTATTGCAAAGCGACTCTCGACGTTTCCCTCAACCTTTCACGTTTTTACTCAAACGGGCATCCATATACACCAGTCGCGCGGAGTAATTGAAATCGGAGGAAACCGCTCGTGGTGTTTCCCTCGACTCGGTCACGACGGAGCACAACGCAAATTTTATTACGGCGCGCCTCTATCCACTTCGTTAGATACCACTTTGTTTATCATTCGCGGATATTAAAATCGTCAGAGTGATGTGTACGTGGATATATATCCAACATAGTTCCGCCATTTGCACGCGCATCACTGACTTTCCAAATTTCCATATTTTCACAACTCACTTCTTTCTCGAATATTTGTATCGATGAGATCAAATATACGCTATAGCACATATACAAATATTTTATCATTGAGTTAATTTTAATAATGTTGATCAAAAAATTAAAAAATATGCATTTCTTTACATAAAAGTGGAGTTTTTTGTATTTAATATTATTATAAAAATGTAGAAGCTATTTAGAAAGTAGTAAGATATATAAACATTACTACAATAATTTAGAAATAATTAATAAATATTATAATTTAATATTAGTTTTTATTATTATGTACAAGAGAAAATTTTATATTAGCACTCAATAAAAGTTTATAAAATAATATCAATATTAATTATAATATAATAAGAAATTAATTAACTTAAATACTAAAATAACTCCCATAATGATTAGTAATTAGTAAAATTAATAATTAAAACTCAGAAATAAAAAAATCAGATTAATACAAATCAAATTATTTTTAAATCGTCGGTTAATTTCATCAATCTTAGCGCGTATAAAATATACAACTAAGAAATAAAGTGCTTTACAAAATGGTTTAAGGGTTATAGAAATCTCGAACGTTTGTAGTCCGCTTCAGCATCCAATTAGTGTTGCAGATACGACAACGAGTGGTCAAGTATAATTTATTACGCGGCGAAACGGTTGGTCGCAACTGATTGCAATATTCTTCCTGGATGCGAGTGTCTCGTATCAGCCAGTAACATGAGCGACACTTGCGTTATTAAGGGATAAAAAGCATGCAAATATTTTTGCAACGATTAGCTGTGTCCCATCACCTGCCCACCATCTACCGACATCACAAATATCATAATTTCCGATGATTCTCATATTTATTCACAATTCTCAAAAGTAGCAATTTATTTTAATGCTATTTCATTCATATTAATTGAAAGATGATATAAACAGTCCCGCAATTAAATATTTTAAACGCTTGATTGCAATTTACCTTTTACTTTAAAATAATTTGTCACGAAATATGTCGTGTAGACAGTTTATATAATACATAGATGCTTGACAAATTAAAAGTTATATTAAACAACACTTTGTATGATTATATGCAGATGGTAATGAAGTTGTTAAATAATTTTATACGAATATTATGTTATGATTATTTATATCAATAAACGTATAATTTGTCGATTTAAATATTGAAGTAGGATAAAGATAAGTGCGTTTTTATACATACAACTAAAGTGGTGCTTGTGATTTTGTTCAGCTTTTATGGAAATTAAAACATACCATCGAAATTCTTCAAAAAATGTTACAAAAAATAATATAACATTTTACGAATATCTGGCTATTTATGGCTAATTGGCTACAAATGAATGATATATCCACTTTTTGAACGTTGTGCTGTAAATGTTGCAAGAAGTACATTCTTATAATCCAAATGTAATAAAATTGGCTTTACATTATTTTCAATTTTTAGTTTTGTTTTATAATAATAAAATTATAGAAAATAAATGAATAATATTGATATTAAACAAATAAACGTTTTTTTAAAGTAAAAAAGGATGATAATTTTATAATATTAAATAAATAATTTATATAAAATAAGTATTCAATCAAAACATTTTTATATTCGAAATTTAACTTAAGAAAAAAATTTTCTCAATTGTTACATGCCAAATAAGTGTGATCAACAAAGATATACAAATAAGTGTGTAAATCATATTCTTGCGGCAAATAATCGAGATTTGGGGATGTTTGGTATTTGACTAAATAGGGGTTGCGTCGTATATATGCGTCCGTAGCCGTCACTAATCATGACCACGAATATACATGCCGTAAAAAGCATAACCGCTATGCAGGACGTACGACGGAAGGGAAACGTATGCTCGAGGGGTTGCGTACAGGTCGCATTCATAACATCAGACGGGGTAATAAAAGTCAGCACCCTATCCCCGTTGCTTTCTACGCCGCCCTCGTTCTGCCTGGATACCCAGAGAAACGTGGGGGGAGAAAACGCGGAGATGCGTAGGTGAGTCAAAAAAGCGAAAAGAGGGAGGAATGCTGCGACTCGTATTGTTCGCGCAGGCATGTGATATATTCGTGAAACGTCGGTGCACATACGTGCTATGTTATATACGTGATATCTGATATTTTCAGATTTATATGTTCACTGAAGAATTTGATGGAATTTAGTGACTTATAGAACAAATATTTTATTGATGTGGAAAAAAGGGTACTCTTAGATAATATATAATTGTTATTATAAAATAATGATAGAATTTGAGATAATATTTAATAATTTGCATCAAATTAATATATAAAAAATAATATTTTTTAATAAAATTTTCATCTTTATGGAAAATTTTCGTTATAATGTAACTAGCATTTTTATGAATATTTTGTAGAATAATGATGAATAATTTTTTTGTTATATCTTTATTAACAATATTAAAATAAATAATATTGTGCAATATTGCATTGTTTATTATTAATAACAATTATAATAAATAATAGATTTTTATAAATAATTTATTTCCAAAAATTTAAACATTGAAACGCTTAAAAAGATCGATTATAGTAAGTTGAAAGACGAGCTTAGCGCGACCAGCTACAGAGACGATGATTATACTCCGACAGTCACTTTGTCCCAAATATAATCCCCCTGTTGTAAACCACTCCAGAGACCACCCTTCCTAGTCGGGTCAAGTGTTTTCTCCTGTGCATCTAAAGGGTGCCATCGAAAGAATCGCAACTATTTCATTTTGGGACAGATTAGACAGATTAGCGGACAAGGATGCACGACCGAGTGATATTTAGCAATGTCATTTCTAATCGACGCTGTGGGGTCAAAGAATATTATTTTTTTACCGTCCCATACGCGTGTCGTAATTTCGTGTCGTAAGATCGTATGAGCTATGCTTCTATACATAAGTTCGTAAAGTAGCATTATTGTTATATCATTTTGATTTTAATTTATAATTATTTATTAATAATTATTTTTTAATTTATTTAGTTTTTATAGCATAATATATATATATATATAATGAAGTATTTAAATATACTTCAATTCTTCAATATTATTTCAATATTAATATTTCGATTACTAAAATAACACAAGAATTATTTAAAATATTTATTTATGCAATATAATGTAATATAAATCTAGACATTAAAATATTACAAGTTTTAATTATATGTATCTATCTAATGTGCCTTATTAACTTTTGTAAAATTTTTAAAAATTTATCTTTATATATAAAAACTTTTAAAAACAGAAATTGTATTAAAAGAATAATAAAAAAATCAGAAAAAATTTGTTTCCTAAATTGCTTATTAAATAGTAAATTAAAAATAGTAAATTGCTTATTAAATAGTATATTAAATAATTCAATTAACAACTCATATTTTCTCAAATTATTGTTAATAATTAAATGATGATGTAAATGATTAATTTGTTGTTTGGACAATTTGAATCGCAGGAGAGAACACAAAGGGTTAAAGTTTCACTTAGTATATAAGGGACGCAAATCTTTAATACTTGTATCACATACTGCTAATTACGCAGCGCTTTGAAGTTTTAATGACTTCATCTTTGCATAAGCCTTCGCCGAAAAGGATTAAATCGGAAATCGGATTCCGGTATTTAATCTTTTGCTACATGAGTCTGTAGAAAAATCAAAGCACGTTGATTAAAATAATTCTCGATTAATAAGAGCGTATCGTATACAACGACTGATATATATTATTATGTCTATATTATTTTAAAATACCATATGGATTCTACCAAATAAAAAATGATAAAAGTTTTACATATGTCACGTACATATTTACACAGATTTCTCTAAATTGTTTTTATATAATTAAAAATTATATGCAAAAATTATAAAGTGTATCATAAATATTACAGCTATAACTGTGAATGAAAATTTTTAAGTTAAATACATTTTATAACAAATAATTAATTCTTATAATTAAAGATGTTGCAAAATATTATACAAGATTATTTTAAATACAAGATTATTTAAAAAATAATCATTTATTAATACATTTATTATTAGAAATAAATTTTGTTTATTCTTATAGGAAGATAAATATTTAAAAGTTCATAATATTCATTACGTATTGATTATTATATGTAATTTATATGTAATTTTTTTATATATAAATTTCTAAAAAAAGTACAGTCTGTTTAAGTTTTTTATATATAAATTATCAAGTTGACAGATTTTAATTTCAGATATTATTTTTAAACTTTTATTAGTAAGATTAGATTTAAAATTCATAAAATTAGGAATAAAGTAATAGAAAAGTAATAGAATAAAGTAATCAATATAATTACTTCGACACTTCTAATTAAATCCAGACTAAAGTTTTCATAATAACTGATTGCCAGCGAAACAGAAATCGTAATTATCCATCATGGATAAGAAAATGAATCAATTAAATTGAATTTAAATATTTCAAAAATTGATGGATAATTCCAATATTTTTAATTATTCACAATGCATATTAAAAACTTTTAAAGAAAGTATTATTTTTTAAAAATAAATTAATACTAAAGTATAAATTAATACTAAAAATACTTAAATACTTGAATATAAATTAATACTAATGTATTAATATTTCAGAATGTTGTAATTTGAGATTAAATTATAAATCTTGCAACAAATATTATGTTTTCTTTTAAATTATATAATTATCTCAATGAACACGTTTCACACGTTCGATGCATTTTTATTTTTTATTCTAATTAAAAATTAAAAGTAATTAGGAAGTATAATTGAAGTACTAAAACTCAAGCCAATCTGAGGGACTAAAATTGCCAATCTGAGGGATTAAAATTTTACAATTACCTCGTTTTTGTTTATAATTACTAAAAAAACTTTAAGCAAACAATTATAATAAGAATAGTTTCTTACCATATAATTAATGCAAAAAGAAGTAGAGTAAGTGTAAATTTATTATTTTAAGATCAAAGATCTAAACATTTACTCTGCTTTTTTAGAACAAATTGATAAGATTTTATTTTTAGTATTGACTTGAAGATATGTATTTTTTGTTTGCAATCAATTATATAGGTTGCACTCTCATATTCACCGCCACTGAAAATATATAGTTCGTGTCACATGTATTATAGATTTTCAGTACTACATGAAGCAGCCACATGGATGCAAATAAATGGTGGCTTTCAGCGCCATCTTTGACACACATCTAAGTTATACCAATGTAAAATTGGGACATACAAAATTTCCTATATCGACGCTCTCCCGTGAAAGTTACATTCCATAAGCGCACGGAACACGTAACAAGCGCTACATTTCCACTATGAAATTGTTGCGATAGGCACATGTGCTTACGTGGACGACTGAGCAGTTTTGTGTTTCGTGGAAGGATTTAAAAATACGTGTTTCTTCCTCTGAAAGTGAAAAGCAAACATCCTCTAATGTCAGTGCCATCGTGAACGGTGTTAAGCTTCAATATTATAGTCAACATGAACGGCACATCACGAAAAGTGAAAAATCCGTTGTTGTCAGCCGCTGGTCCTGGCTTCCCTTTTGACAATTACACGGAGAACACATTGCTAATGCCAGTCACACCCGCGACACCAGCCGTGCTTCGAGATGGTGAGTTCATTCAATTCGAAAAATCGTGGGCGGGGCACCAGTAGTATGCGAATTTTGCATACTGTTTGAACGAACGACAGAGAGATTTGGTTGATAATTAATTCCGAAACAAAATTTATGAGAAAACAGTCTGTTGCTTCGTTTATTTCACTTTGTCGCACTTGATTCCCCCAGCCTCACGCTTCTGCATCTGACTAGAATGCACTCGTGGGCTAACATCTGTTAATCCGTCATCGCTTACTCTGTCGATATTACAGAGGAAAACGATAGCGAACGATGAAAGTCCCTGACTCCAGTGTGAGACGTTTGTACGTAAGGCCAGTCTAGGCCAATTCAGATATAGTGTCAAATAGTAGCATAGCTGCATATGCAGAGAAGTCGCAATGACGCAATGGACATCGTGTAAGATATCTTTGTGCATGTTTTGTTTTTTGCAATTATGCATAAGTACGTTTATACTAAAGCTATAAAGAATAAAGGCCTTAAGTTATAAAATTTTATCTACAATTCTGGATGGACTTGCATAGTTGCAGATGTCTACATGTAGAAAAATCAAGCATGTTTTAATGTAAAGCATATGCTATGGATTGTAATAATTGATTGAGTAGTTTCAGATTGGACATAGAGGGGACAAGTTGTGGTATTTTGCGTTTTCAATTTTATATGTAGATATAAATTATTCAATAATGTTCTTAAATTATCACAATTGCATTTTAGAATTAGAAATTAGAAATTAATTATTTATTACATTTTATTTATATATACATTAAATTCTGTAAGTATTCCAAAAGTTTAATGTACAAATTTTATAATATATTTGATTGAGTTAATGATATTACATTTGAGTTTCACAAGTGTTGTTAGAAGCTTGTTCTTTCGGATCGAGGAGGCTGTCTAGAACCATATCTTTGTGTGTAAGGTAAATCGTGGCTGTTTTTCCTACGAAAACAATAAACTATTGCAACAATGAGAAGTATTAAAAGCAACAGAAGAAATAATGCTCCAAGCACGATAGCTGCTATTTCCCCTTGTGATAAATTGTCCCATTGTGTTACATCGATAGTACGTGTGTGTTGATTTTCTGATATATCTATAGCTGTAATTGTAGCTGTTGTGGTACAACATGTAGATGAGTAGTAAAATGTAACGCGATCTTTTGTGCCACTTATATATTTAGTATGTGGATATATTCCATTTGGAATTGATATTACGCGTTTTAAACCTGTATGAGGAAAAAGAAGGCATGAATAATTTGATCATAGTATCTCAGTAGATAAAAGCTAACAGTAACGTTACATTAATATTATAATTCCTCATTCAGCACCATAAATGTAATACAACATAACGTGTTGTATGTAACAGTTATATTGCTGAGGAAATTATAAAATTAAAATAATGGCACTGTTTTGTATTTTTGGAATAACAGGTTTTACTGTTATATTTTTGTTCTTCATTCATCTATTCTATTACATAATTCAATTACCTGAGTCATAATCTTGGACAGTGATGTCAGCGCTCCAAAGTGTTTTTTCACAACGATCTTTGTCGAGCTTACCGGCGCAATTGCTATTGAATGAATACTCGATTGTTGGTTTTACATTATCGATGTTCTAAATGACAAACAAAATTAATATAATATTAATATAAGATAATATAACATCTACATAAT